CGCGGTTTCTAAGGTGCAGGGGAAGATACTATTGCATGCGGAATAGAAGCACCATGAGTATGTTCCCATTCGATTTACTAATCCAGGCCAATAAGGCGGCGTATGTGGTACGTTTGCCTGCGTGATGAGTAATCTTGCATTTCAGAAGGAGATGTTGTTTGAGCTCCCCGGTGTGGATGTGCTTGATGTGAATGTTGACAAGGTGCCTACCTGTCTAGTACCCACTACCTCTTCCATACTGGCTCCAGGAGACAGTTGGTCGTTGCTAGTGGGGACGGGGTACACCGTCCTCGTGACGGTGCTAGGCTTAAAGAGTGGTTCCATCCTGTGTGGAACGGGCTACGGTCTAGCCACCGCCATGTGTATGTCTGGTGTGTATGATTTCCCAATTAGGCCGGAATGCTTCTGTTCTGCTTGTTGAAAGAGTGTGGGCCGGCTCCGTTGATGAAACGTGGCTCCCATTCACATGCCTCCCGGTCTTATTCATTCGGGTTTACACCGGATATGGGGTGTATGCATGGAACTGTGGGTGGTGCTGCGCAAGTCATCCATGACCCTCTGTAAGCGCAGGCGTCCTGTGACTGTCCCCATGGACGTCACAGTGACAGGCAAATCCAAATACGGACACCATCAGATCATGTTTCGTCGCATAGTGCCCCATGCTGAGGCTGATGTTGTATTTGTGCTGCTACTTCACCACAGTTTGGCTAAAACAACACACATAAATTAGGTTTTATTTTATGCTGGATAAATTTCAGTCCACTTTGATTGCTTTGTTCTGCCTACCAGAATAATCTTATATTAACTATAATCTTCGAGTAACTAATCTTCTATTAATCTTCTGCTATAATCTTCTTCTGTTATCTGGCCACGTTGCTTACCCTAATTGTGGTAATCTACGTTACCTTTATTGCGTGTGTAGAATTGTTGAGTAAATTGTGGACAATTTGTGCTTATCGCGAACTTGTTGGCAACCAATTTATTTCATATGCCTATTTCTTGCAAGGTTATGTCACCGTATTTGTATGATTCCCCGATTTATTTTATTTGATAGTGTCATCTCACGTGATTGGCTTTTGTTTGACATCCCAGGTGTGGCTGCGCTTGATGTGCATGTTGACAAGTTGCCTACCTCTCTATTACACACTACCTCGTCCATACTGGCTCAAGGAGATAGTTAGTCGTTGCTGGAGAGCACGGGGTGCAAGGTCGTTGTCGTTGTGCTAGGCTCGAAGTGTGGTTCCATGCACTCAGTGTGGAGCGGACTACGGCCAAACCACCGCCTTGTGTGCGGTTTATTTCCCGAATACAGCGTGCTTGTGTTTGCCTGTGAAGGAGTGTGGGCCGGCTTCATTAATGGAACGTGGCTCCCATCCACATGTCTCCCAGTCTTTTTCCTTCGGGTTTACACTGGATATGGGGTATGTGGTTGAATCTGTGGGTTGTGCAGCGAGGCCACCAATGGTCCCTCTGTATGCGCAGGCGTCCTTTGGCTGGCGACATTGACAGGTTAATCCGAAACCGGATGCCGCCAACAATGTTTGGTCGCACCCTTCACTGAATAAATATTATTGCGAGTTATTGTCAAAGGCACTGATGAGACAATATGAAATGTGTGTATTTGCCAGTCTTCGTCTTCTCAATGCGCTTTTTAAATTTGTAGAAATACCAAATACAGTAATCTCCCGGACCGATACTTTCATGGCGTTGGCCAGAGAGACTTTGGCAGCTGGGAAGCGCAGACTATTATAGCCTAAGCAATGGGGTAATTAGTCTACTTTTGATTGATACTCTTTCTAAATGGATAGAAAGGCATCCCTTTCCACCCGCTACTTCCGCAGCAACAGTTGCAATAATGCCCTCCCTATTCGTCATTTTCGTTATCGCAGGGACGGCGTGCACTGACAACAGGACACCATTTACCAATGAAGAGTTTAAACAGTTCCTGAGTAACGACAGGATACAGCACATCAACTCTGCGCCGTACCATCCGGCGTAGAATTGAATGGCAGAACATGCAATCCACCCCGTTAAACAAGATCTCCTCAGGCAGACTCCTGAAACTCTACAAACTAAGTTGGATTGTCTCCTGTCCTCTTACCGCAGGACACCGACTGAGTCTACAGGGAGATCACTAGCGGAGTTAACGCTTGGCGGCCACTACGAACGAGACTGCACGGAAACCTCGAATGAGAATGGAGGACAAGCAGGAGAAAATGTGTGTGATTACAAGATGCTACAGGAAATGTGTTTTAATGATTTTTATCTGGTATGCCCAAGAATGCCTCACGGAACAAGCTGGCAACCTGCGACACTCAGGTCCTCAGCGAGCGGAGCTTCAGATGGAGGAGGGCCGTGTGGTGCGTCGCCATTTTGGCCATATCCGGCCACGCTCAATCGAACCACATGAGCGGGATCAAAAACCGACTGCTGCTGACACAAAACGATCGGAGAGCCTGCCTCGCAAAACCAGGAGCCGAAAGCGGATGCGAAACAGCCTCAATCAAGACGCTCAAAACGCATGCCTAAGCCAACCCGGAGTCTGTAGTCTACCAGGAATGAGACAGGTGTCACATATGTAGATGAGTATTGATTCATGAAACCAAGCGATCACAGGATTGGTTGTCAATGACCTTGTCATTGGTTTTTCGTTCCGGCATTTCTAGCCACTGTAAGGTAGGTTGCCTTTGTTAAACGCTTCCATACCATGCATGAGCCTTCCGTTTCGTCCATCGGCTAAGGACCATAAATAACAGGTCGTTTCCATCACTGAAAGAATTCATACTAGAGTTTCGAGCTGTCCGTCGCTTTATCAAGCCCTATACGATGACTTCAAATGCTTACTGAGTAAAGCGTCAACCGTTAAACACTTTGTGTCGTGATTCACTCTGAGCCTTGGTCACCACTGCTTGAAGAGTCTAAATGGACACCAAACCATTGATAATTTGCAGGTTTTGGAGCAAATAGTACCGAAAATTCTCAACTTCGGTTACTGTTTCAGTTTTTTAATGAACCAGCTTTACTGCAATTTATACCAACTTCCTAGTTGACATTGTGTCGCGCTATAAAACTACTCTGCTGGTACTCTACAATCCAAAGGCAAATGAATCTCTTCTAAGTATGACTCGCGGAGTATAAGGGCATATTTATCAACTAGTAAGTAAGTACTGGGTCTATTTCCAAACCCCGGCTATTTCCACCTGAAGCTCCCAAACAAAAGAAAAAACGTATCATGAAGCACATTACTAGGAACAATGGTCATCGAGGGCTGCATCTGAAACTTGATACAAGAGCTGTTTTGTTTGAATCTATCATTTACGAAACCAATGAGCAAATTTGCCTAGGTATGGGGTGCATTGGTGGTAGTCAGAAAAATGACAGAACTCACGCAAGAACAACACGAAACATCTTGTCTGTCAAGACGACATTCTCTTTAAACAACAGGAGAAAACTAACCGATGAGTTGCAAATTAGTAACCTGACTAGGCCAAGTTGCCGGTGCCTAACCGTAAGTTATAAGATCACTAATCTCATACCTGTCATACTTTGTCACCTTCGAACTTGCAAATTCAGGTGAAAGAAATGAAACCCGGGCCAGTTGGCGCCGATGAATGCTACAATCTCATCTTCCCCACTGGGTGTCGCTGCAAAAGCTAGCATTCATGCTGAAGGCGTACGGATACACGTGGTAGTTTTTAGATCCCCTCCATACAAGAAAACCTGGAAGCATTGCAGCCTGGTTTCTGAAAATCCCTGAGTTCTCTTTTTATCAGGAAGCGGAGCAAGTACTACGGATTTGACGCAATTCTCTCCGGAGCTTTTTGTTAGTGGCGTGTGCAAACGGGGCATGGCTTCCGTCAAAATCAGTTTTAGTCTCATGTAGATGAAGTACCTTTACACAAACAGGCTATTTTCCAAGTGCAATGAGTCTGGTGTAACATGAACTTCGCAAACCTTGAAGTTTATTTTATGTCTTGTAGTTTAAGCTGTTACAGTGGTTATCCCCATTGAAACACGACCACGCGGAACTGTTTTTTGAATACATGGGCTACACCATCAGCGATATTTTCCTATTTAGGTATTGCACTCCAGTCACAACACCACACTGAGAGGCCAACATTTGGTCACCACGAAGTGTAGTCTGTTGAAATGCTGCCGGAACTTATTCACCCTTTGCGAATTCCAGTCGTGGAACTACCTTACAAATTTGGTCACTTCTGCCTCACGTTAATTGAATTCGAGACTCTACTTGACGCCGCGTTTCACCACCTGCATTGAATGAGTTATGCGCACAATATTAGGACAATACATAACGTAACCATATGAAATAAACAGTGAGTCCACCAATAGGCGTTACTTTGGTTCTTAGTGCATTTATTTGTTGAATTCCTCCTTTATTAACGAGACTAGTCAGACCTTTCATTTTTTACCCTTGGCAAATGCATGGTTTCAATTTTCTAAGTCCGCATACATACATAGTGAGTGGGACTGCCCTCGGAAAGACAAGCAGAAATAATTCATTCTCAAAATACTTCTTAAACATCCGTTGATCATCCGATCAAGCATAATAAGGTACTTTCGCTTAGGTTCCCATCAGCTCAACCTGCTTACCTTTGCGCGACATCTGCAACAACCTGTTGCTGCCTTCAAGATTCTGTCTCTAACCCCACTGAGGGAACTGAAGTACAATTTTTTGTCTCTGATGGAGCTTACTCAGCAACACCGCGGCGACCACCAAGCACAGTAAACGTTGGTTTCTGTCTTCCAGTTCGCCTTGTACATCGATGCTGTGTACATTTATACCCATGGCCGATGATCGTTCCTAGTTTTAACAGTCCAATTCAGGTTCCCATACTCGCCGAGTTTGGCACTTGGGTCTCAAACGTTTCATCACTTAATAATAGGCTTCTAGAGTGTGGTACTGCGTTGTTTGGTGATGGAACGTTCACAACCAAATTACCAAGTTCGGCGAGCACGTGAAAGTCAGAACGATCAACCTGCGCTGCCAGTGTTTCAAGTTATATTTCATCTCATCGTAAATTAGATTTATTCGCGAAAGTTTAAACTAACAGAAAACATTCCATGTTCAGATTTCGAGACATGTTCGACCCTGTTTAAAGCATCCCTATGTTGGTGCTGATTGACACTTGTCACATGAAAGTTTGTTGTGTTATCAGAGCGGCATATAGTCACATACCGAAACACGGGTATCTGACATGGTCTAGAACCATCATATTGTTCATTTGTAATTATGGTTCCAAGCCGATCTCGTTAGTAGTTATGAATGGTCAGACTAGAATCTCTGCAGTTCAACGTGGCCAAATATAATCGGCTCCATTTACTGCTCCCATTCGTATTCTGGATGATCATGTGCCACAGAAATCTCACCAGAGAGTTCACAACGTGGTTATACATAAAGACCGCAATGGTACATAACAGTCCGAAACAAGGTCAAGTAGGGATACTAAAGAACCGGGCTGCTGTGTACAGGTTTCGGAGGCTCCGGCTCGTCCAATTCCTGGAACTGCTTGCTGTACTCTTGGTATTGGAGCTACGACCGAACCGAGATCTCAGTGATATGTGATTCTGAAATATGGGTTGACAGAGAAGTCGAAATGATGTTATTTACTTTGTAAACAGGAATTAGGGTTGCTAGGACATTTTAGTGAGCGACATCTATGTTTGTATGATAACAGTATCATGGCTTAACAAAATACACCATATCCACATGAGTCGCCATATTTTGCAATTCCTTCTTACTGATAGCTTAAAAATGCATCTCCAACCGCTAGAGCAGTACAGCTTCTTGGGGAGTCATTATAATTACTTTATCTACTTGTTTCCCTCAATTAGGATGACATCAAATAGGTTGCTATTTTGTGATCATACTGGAATTATTCAAAACCCAGTGGACTGTGCATTGACTTTCCTATGCTAATTTATATCTCGCATGCAGGGATCAGGAAGTCAAATCGCCAAAGCTCACATGTCTTGCCAGGAACATCAAAGGTGACCTCTTGAAGGTGGTTGAAGTTTCCGCGGAATTTAATTCTGATCCGAAAATTCAAAAGTATAGCGAATGTTTCAGTTTTCTTTTGCAAGTCCTCCTCCGAATATCCGGCTAGACATGCGGAGCTGCAGTTTTATTCATTCTTAGTATCTTTTCGACTTTTAACTCCGACACTTACCATCCCTATGACAGCAATCCGCCCATCAAGCACAACTAGTGCAAAATATCACATTAGGTCATCACCGTCTATGGCGTAAGCAGACAATGTTTTACTACCGATTCGATATTAATACCTTATATCTACTGTCTAAAAAGTGCATTAGGAGTCACAACACTAGTACTATTGAAGGATCAATCATTATGCGGGGTTCATCCCACTTCATCAATCTGAAACTTTCCTTATTGTAACACCCAGAAAAATATTATTCAATTACAGAATTACAAATTACCTCATGAAAGCTGACATCAGATTGAATACTCTTGAAGCAACATCCACTTTGTGCAAGTAAGAGTAACTGCCTCAAGTTAGTTGAAATGAAACCAACACAAATAACTTGAAAGACATTCTGACTCACAGGCGGCCTTTTAGAAATGGGACGTAGTTGTTTTATGCATAAATCATCGCTGTCCGTTTGTTGAAAGCGGGGTGCTGCTTCGAATGATATTAGTGGTCATATACGTGTACCTGGGTCGTGCGGCGGATGGGCTTCTGTTGTATGAGTTCGAGTTGTCTAAAGTGCGATTTTCAGGGTCATGCGCTCGCCTGACTCCGTATTTCGAGTAGTCGAGGGGAGGAAGAGTGGTGGGGCGTTTTCTGAGGTTTTCTACAGCCTTCAGCCGACGTTCACGTTCTTCGGCCGTCTCTCCGTGCAAAAAGAAAGGCGAGGAGGGTGGGAGTACTACTTGGTTATCCGACTTTGTCGACTCGTTCTTATAGTCACTGCACTGTTTTTCGGAACTTCTGAAGCTGTGTGGCTGCTGCTGTTTGCGAATAAGCTCCGTAAAAAAAGCTGCTAGATTTCGAACGCTTGGCACCGAAGAATCTATGAAACCTTCGTTTGCCAAGCTCGCTGTCCCCAATGGCGAATGCTGAGTTGCTTCTTTCTGTAAATTGTGCGTTGATCTAGGAAATGTACCGTGGACATATAAAGACGTCGTGTCGTTACTTAAATTCCCATTATTTACTTGCTTCGATTTCGACATACTCGTCACCACTGAAGGTTTTTCCAGAATTGCTGCGAGTTGTTCCATGGGAGTGGGTTTCGGAGCAACTTCTGGACGAATCTTTACCTCCAAAGGATTTCGAGTTTCAGGATTGTCATCCGGAGAATTAGGGGATTCAGGTCTTACATATTCCCTCTTACTTGAACTTTGAAAAACATCAGACACATTTGGAGCCGAATGGGTAGCACTTAGCTCATCATCAGGAAGACCAGGATCACTGGCTGGAGCCTCACCACCACCTTCATCTAGTGTTGCTCCCTCCACATGCGCATTCAGAACAGATGTCGGGGAGTTTTGACCAAAGTACTGCTCCCTGCCATAGGGGCTGATATTTACAGTAATATTGCTCCTAATCGAGTTTGTGGCAGTGCCATCTGGAGTACCGAGTTCCTCGTCGATGGTTTCGATATCTGCTTTTCCACCCGGTTTTGATGCAGTATCATTCATTTGGGCTCGGCTATTTTTATGCCGTGTATGTGTACTGGTTACATTTAACGACTCCTCCTCACGTATTAACTTCCGAACTACAATTTCTTCATACTGTGTATCGTCGTGATCATCTTTGCGCTGATCGTAAATTTTCGAATGTATTCTTCTTTGATCAGAATCATCCGAGGTTGTGGTGTCGAAGTGGTTGACATTCACTTTCGCGTCTCCCAAGGTTCCTACTTGAATCCATTGACTTGTATTCTGATGTTTATCAGCTTCACTCACCAGTCGCGGCTTGATGTCCACAATTACCCTGTTGCTATCGCTTCGTAACGAATGCAACCGGTCAGTGAAATGAGATGAATAAACCGGTTGTGGTAGGCTACTCCAGCTTCCTCGAGCCTCTACTAACTTTGGCGAACGCACAAACTGAATACGCGGCCTTGCTTCAATATAACGACCCGGCCCCTGAAATACTATATGAGGAACATTCGCTTTGTATTTAGAGCGATCTTTTGACTGGCGCAGCTCGGTACAAGATAGATTACTTTGGAATGAGGGAAGTTGTTTTCTTACTCTTACTGAGCGATTCGATGGGGAATAATGATGATCAGAGCCAAGAATATCATCTAAGCCAAAGTTGTCATCTACAAGAGTCCTGGTGGAAGAAATTCCACTGCTCCGTACACCTCGGTGTCTGTGTGTTAACTTGGGACTGTCTCTAGAAACAACATAGAGCACAGATCGATAGTGATCTGGTTCATCCGATTTGATCTTACCACCTCTGGTTATTCGATTAAGTGATGTGAGTGAGTTGTGCATTCGGTCGCGTAGGAAATATCTCGCATTTTCTCGCACTGTCCCAGGATATGCGCATTTAGGCATTCGGAGATCAAGATATTCCCTCAAATCAGCTTTGGACCCTTTAGCGTCCCAGTCGAGGCCCTCTTGAAGGCTGTAAAACTGGATACCATCCGTGCAACTAGTCGTGGCTGGTTTTAAGCGGCTGGTGGTTTTAATAGTTCTGGTGAAGTGACTAGCTGTGGAATATGTATCCTCCAGGTGGCAAATCGGTTTGGGGCTTGTAGAGAGCAGTGGAGAGAGAGATACCTTGTTAACACCAATTTTTGCAGTGCTGAGAGGAGCAGGTCGGGTTGATGTGGATTTTCGATAGTCTGAGCCAAAAGAGCGAACACTCTCTGGTCTCGGGGAGGAAGAACGGGTATTTTCATCACGATAGTGTACAATAGGATCAATAATAGTCCGGTACATCGTTGTTCCGGATGACGAACTAGGTCTTGTTTCGTCACCGTAAATATGCTTCGTGAAGAAGGAAGTTTGAAGATTACTGTCATCCATAAACGAAGTCGCTTCGTTCCTCAGTGGGGCAGTATTGCAGGATGCATATAAAGCTCCAGAGTTATAACCTGAAATAGTTAGAACATTGTACCGGCATTAATAAAACGTCATTCATTTCTTATTCTTTGTCAAAAACACTGGTATGGCAATAGAGAAACGTTATATTTATAGTTCAATGGACAAGCGTAGTATTTACTTACTTGCGCATTTGTATAAACATCTGTATACACATCTTTTTGTGGAAAATGCTTTTCCCAGTGGACTCCTAAGACAATGTTTTAAGAAGATGCACAATAATAACTGAAAAGCGACCCTTTTGGACGTTTTCCTTTCCTCTCAAACCAGGTTCAGTATATTTTCAAATTAACAAGAGACACGTTTGATATGTCCTTTCATCAGTTTTCATTCATCACGAAAATGCGGATGAACATACATAAACTTTTGACTGGATGAGTTGTCTCACGAGCCCCTACCAGTTGTGTGATATTTTCTATCGGATTAATCAATTGTTAGTTGCAATTACTAGAGTTTGCTCACTTCCTTTAGCACTTGGTATGAGTACAGTTTAGTTAACCACAATGAACCGTGTGAGGAATTGCGGTGGATCCTATCACCATGATACATGTCGTCAGAAAATTGGCGGGAGAATGATATAAAACGCAACGACAATACAAAAAGAGTTAGAAAGTGTGAGTAAGGTTACATGAAGCCGAATGCAGGAGATCCAGAAGTTAGATTACTGGACAAGATCAGGTTAGCTCCCATCCACTCATGTGTCTCGTCTTGGCCGCTATCGAGAAAAGTGACTCATATCGGCCCGACAAAGTGCCTCAACCAATGGCTACATACTCTCAGGCAATTTATTCTACTGGCTACGTCGCGTTTTCGTCCAGCTAGGTGAAACGTCAGCATATACAGTACATCATAGAAGCTGTTCGACGGACTCGATGTGGCGAGCGTATGTGAGTAGGCTTTAAGTGACACTCCAGTGAAGCACCAGAGAATTTCTTGTCCAACATTACTTGGTGGAATTCAGTGATGCTCACCCTGTGCTCAAAAGTACGCAAGCATTTCTAATCAAAGGAGAGCACTGTCTTAATAAATTCAATTCAGATCCGGCAAGCACATTGACACCAGCCTTATTGCAATGTTTGACACCAGATCTTCAATCAATCGACTGAAATCTCACTGCTTCCAGAAACGATATAAACCTTGGTAAAATACACTGGCTTTGTTGGTACTATCGGTAACGTCCTCTGCGATGCAGCCGCAGTTGGTAATACAGATACGAGTCAAATGAACCAATCGACCGTCCTCAGGAGCTCTCCGAAGATAGCGCGAATAGGGGATGGGTCCGTCCAGTTCTGTAACAGTACTTCGCACATTCAAGGCCTAATACACGTGCTAAAGTGCGTAGCACTACACACTGTCCTATCTGGTATCAATTGCACAGACGACGCGTCCAACCAAGGGAAACTATGTTGTTCTCATACTCAAGGTGTACTAGTTGATTATTTGGCAAAACTTCTCTGGCACTATCTGGGAGGACGGAAGCACTTATAGCCAAATCGATCGAAATTGTAGTGAGGAAAGGAAATGTAGGATAAACTTGGCCAGCCCAACCCGCTGTGGGGAACTCGGGAGAGTGTTTTACCTAGATCTCAACCTGATTTCGAGAGTCAGTGTGAAGAGTTTTCAGAGTATAAAGGAATTGCCATGGTACGCACTTTACGGATAGGCAGTGCCACAAGCTGGTGCGGTCAGCTGAGTCGAAGACCGCTTGTAAGTCAAGGAAAACCAACATAGTTGGTCAAATGTTAATATGTATCTACTCCGATATTTTCCAGTTGTACCCGTGCCGGGTTTCGTCGTGGACGTGGCTGCACCGACCACATCTTCACCTTGCTCAGTTGTTGGAGCACCGCCACACATATTGGCGGCCCACCGTAATCGTGTTCCTCGACATCAAAGGTGCCTTCGATTCCGTTGATCGATGTGTCCTTTGGAATTGTCTACTCAGGAAACGTGTGCCCGAGAAATATGTAAATATTATCCAAGCATTATATGCGCGAAGCACGGGCAGAGTGAGGGCTTACGGCAAACTGTCGCCACCCTACAATATCTCCAGCGGTGTGAGACAAGGATGCCCGCTGTCATCTTTCCTCTTAAACTTCGCTATTGACGAAGTCATGGAGTTTGCAGTTACAGGACATGACTTGGAAGGTGTGGAGCTACTCCCAGGAGAACGACTTCTTGACTTGGAGTATGTAGACGACATTGCCCTCATCTGTGACAGCTCCCAGACATGCCAAGCCGCGCTGGACAGATTAGCACTGGCTGTCAGTCGCTTCGGGCTTTGCTTTGCACCATCGAAGTGCAAAGCGTTCCTCCAGGATTGGCAGGGATCGCCCCCTGTGCTGACCCTCGGTGGGGATCAGCTAGAAGTCGTTCAGAAGTTCAATTACATGGGAAGTTATATCAGCTCCCTTGGGATCGAAGACGAGATCACCTACCGTATAGCGAAAGCTCGGAGTGCTTTTGCTAGCCTTCGCCACCTATGGCGACGGCGCGACATTACTCTCGCCCTGAAGGGTAGAGTGTACTGTGCAGCGGTACGTTCGATCCTACTGTACGGTTGTGAAACCTGGCGCCTAAGGTCGGCGGACATGAAGAGGCTACTTACGTTCGACCATCGGTGCCTTCGCAGTTTGGCTCACATCTGGTGGGAACACCGCAGGAGTAACGAGCGTGTTCGACGCCTTGTTTAAGGCCCAGGAAAAGGATCTGAACCCATCAGCACCGTCATTTCACACACCAGGCTCCGATGGCTCGGCCACGTGTTACGCATGCCAGCCCACCGACTCCCTCGACGTGCGTTGTTTGCTCACCGGGGATGTGGGTGGAAGAAGAGGAGAGGTGACCAAGCGATGACTTGGTCCAGGGGAATGAAGTCCCTCACTTTGGAGCTAGCCTCGGTTGGAGCGTCTCGGCTCCCTGGTTGGGGTCCAAAAGACGGTGAACACGTTTGGCTGGATACACTTGTTGACATGGCAAGGAGCCGACCTCAGTGGCGTTCCTGCTGCGAGTTTCTTTGTCCCTCCCCATCCCTTTTAGCCTCCCCCTCCATCTACGATCACATTTCCTAGGGTAAAACATAATAAAAAAAATTTCTTTTTGCCTAGTAGCTGACTGGAAGCTTACCGGAACGATGCCTATCCGTTGCTGGTAGCTCAGCTGGCATGCAACTGTTGTATCTATTTTTCCTTTGTGTATTGTATTATATGTATGTATGTATGCATTTCCTTCATATATTGCGGCCCAATAGCGGAGGTGTTTTCCCACCTCTAGCTGATGTGTATAATGAATGATGGATGAGTTGTACCCGCGAGTGGAACTATGAATGTTGACTTGAAAGAACGCTTGTAGTTCTGTCCACAGAAGACTCAGAGTTCACTCCGCTCTCACTCTACCAACTCACATTGAAAATGACTGGAACGACTTGCCAAAGCATGTGGTCGACGAGCAGAATGAGGAATGTTTCAAGCGACTTTTGCATTCTCAGTTGATGAATAAGCTAAGATCTTGTTTATTCCAATCTAGGTGTTACGGCCCCTTGTGGAATACCGTCTCGTAACGACTCAAGGCTTCCACGCAATGATCGGGAAGTGAAGGAGTTGACAAAGGAATTTTTCCTTTTGCTCTCTATAATCCAATGATCCAGTAGCAAATCAAATTTTTGGCGCGCCATACTGATCGAGCTTTTTAGCTAAAAGATCGTGGAAAACAGTGTTTACATAAACACTTGCAAGGAAATTTGACTATTGTCAAATTTCCTTTGATCCAAGAGACGTTGGATCTATTAAAGGGGTACTGGCCAAAGCGTTTGCTGGTACTTTTTCCGGTTGTTCCCAGTTTTAATCCCTTTTGCACCCTGTTTTTGCCTTTTTCGTTTTACCATTTTATACGTGTTATAATTCGGCTTTGTTTTCCACATGAACTGGACTTTCTCGCTAAACACCGAAGCGGATGAACCCCTGGAGTCTTCGTTTGAGGAATCTAGTGCAGCTTGCGGACAGTTTACCTGTTCTGAGCCAGTAATAGATTTATCTGGCGGTATGCAGTGTGACGTTTGCTGCCGCTAGTATCACGAAAGCTGTACAAACAGTTTGTATGTATGTAGCAGTCTCAGGCTACTGAGCCAAAGGCTCCGGGTGGAATCCCTCAAGCAAACCTCCGAAGCAATCCGCCACCTCACGTGCGATTGCCCATCATTGCAATCGTATGCCTGTGCACAAAGCACTCAGCATCGGGTGTTGGAAGGTGTGCACAACACTGAACTGGAACTTGAGTGAGCGACCCGAGCGACGCACTGCACTGGTCGCGATGGAACTGGCGCGCTACAACATCGATATTGCGACGCTCAGTGAAACCCGGCTCGCTGACCAAGGTAAGTTTTATGCGGCAGGTGCTGGTTACACATTCTACTGGGTGGGCAATGCCGTCTCAGCACCACCTGAACATGGGCTCGGATTTGCAATATCCGATCGCCTCCATGACCAGCTGGTGGGTGAAACAACAGGCATCAAAGCGCGACTGATGACTGTTCGCCTAGTACTCGAAGAGGTAAGTTTGTCACTTTTATAAGCACGTACGGTCCGACCATGTGTTATCCTGATGACACGCGTGATCTATTCTGCACTCAGCTATCCTTCTTGATACGGTCTGTTCTGAGGAGCGACCTAATTCTTGTGCTGGGTGATTTCAACGCGCGCGTTGAGCGGGATGCACCGTTGTGAACAGGTGGTATCGGTTCGCATGGCATTGGTACAGCGAATGCAAACGGTGACGGACTGCTCTCACTGTGTGTCACTCACGGCCTGACGATCACGAACACTCAGTGTGCACTGAGTGCGAGTAACTTGGACGCACCCACGGATCGGTCACGCTCACCTGCTCGACTATGTCATCGTATGTCAACGTGATATGCGTGAAGTGCGCATGACACTTGTACTGCGTGGAGATGAGTGTGGCACTGATCACAAATTGGTGTGGACCAAACTCTACAAAT